CCTCAACAGAGAAATCTAAACCAATAGAACAAGTAATAAAAACTATAATTCAAGAAACTTTCTGGCATTAAAAAAAAAAAAAAGATTTAAAGTAACATGTTAAAAGAAACATCACACCTAAGAAAATTGTCTCAGAATGAACATTAAAATATATCCTAGAAAGATCATTGGACTTCAAAAAAAAGACACTTTGATAACTATGCAGTCCTACATTTCCTAGTTCTGTTTGAAAAGACCTGGAAACACTGGCTAAGCCAAGAGCAATGAGCCTCTCTAGTACCTAATTTGTATTCTTGAAATATCATTTCCCTGCTAAAAGAAATCAAGTTTCTTGGAGAAATGGTTGATTCCAGGTCTGAGGAATTAAATGTATGAAATGAGTTCATAACATCTTATCATATCAGAGAGCAAGGAAAGTATAATACTAGAAAGTACTAACACTGTGTCAAAGACTCCAGAGAGAAACTGAAGAGAATTCTGCAGGTCAAACATAGAAAAATGTGATCAACAAAAATAATTGCATTAAGTTACTTTTCTTATCCGTTACAGTTATTTTACACATAAAACATGTTTACAGTGGTGAGTTTATGATAAAGAAAAATAACTGGTCACTTTTGGAGTATAATAGGATATCAAGTTATTGTTTTGAAACTTAGAAAATGCAGGTGATGTGTTTTTAAGTTAACTGTGGTGTTAGATACACAAGCCTATGTGTTTGATAAAATTTCATAGAACTAAATACATGCACAGATGAGCGTAAGTAAAACTGGGGAAGTCTGAATAAGATCCATGAATTGTATCAATGTCAGTAACCCTGGGTATGATACTGTACAATCATTTGGCAAGATGTTACCAATGGGGGAAATGGCATAAAGTATACAGCAAGGAATCTTTCTTCATTATTTCTTAAAATTACGTGTTTAACTACAATTATCTCAAAATAAAAAGTTTATTTTAAAAATCTTCATTAGCCATATATTCATGGATAACAAAATACTGAACGTGTTCTTGAATGGGAAATTTCCTTATGAACACACTTCTCTTATGAATGAGCCTATATGAATGAAGAGTTCTTTCAGTCTACCTTCATATGCTCCTAACCTCCTATGCTGTCAGTTTACTCGGTGCAGCAGCAGGGTGCCAAATTCAGCATTCCCTTATAAATGTAAGGAACATAACATTCCTTTTTTAAAAAATCGAATTTGTTCTTTAAACACTTTATAGTAAACTTTTTAAAGCTAGTCAGTTGTGCGTAATCATGAACATTAAGTAACAACCATAATGGTAGTAACTGATGATGGTGTTGATGGTAATGAGTGAGGGGGTTGTGGTGATGATGGGCATAATGATCATAACCATGTTGATTGTGATGACAATAGTAATGGGATTGTTGACGGTAAAATATTCCAAAGCTGGCATTTGACTCCAAGTTTCCCTAGCTGCAAGATCGCCCTACCAATAAAAGGGAAATTAACACACCTGGGAGACAAACCATGCTTCTCAGAGCCAGTGTAAAGCAAGGCTCTAATTGTTCCATTAGTGAGGACCCCAGCCTCTCGAGTGATTACAGCCCAGGAGGTACTGTGCCCATATATTCGTAAACACAATCCCAAGCCCCCAGTCTTAGTGGCCCATTTTTTTATGACTTTGAGTAAATGTAGGACTCAATATAAATCAGTGTGGTTCCTGCATTTTCTGATTGTTGAAACCAAGGCAGCCCTTAAAGTTTCCAGCAGACTGTGCTTTATTTTTCCTTATCACAGGTATTTAATTTCAAACTTAAAGCGATCGCGTGAGAAAAATATTTCTTCCATAAACTCTTGTTTATGATGCAGAGTATTTATAACCATATGTTTACCTTCACCTCTATGTGCTTTTTTAATCTGTGTGCTATGTTCTCACTGGCAGTAATCCTAAGGCTCTGATGGCTTAGTGAAACTAAAGGTAATAATTGTAGTAACTAATATAAAATATATGGTTTGGCCAGGCATGGTGGCTCATACCTGTAGTCTCAGAGCTTTAGGGGATGAAGAGAGGAGAATTGCTTGAGGCCAGGAGTTGGAGACCAGCATGGGCAACACAGAGAGAGCCCATCTGTACCCAAAATTGTAAAAAGTAGCCCGGCGTGGTCACATGCACCTGTAGTCCCAGTTACTCAGGAGGTTGAGGTGAGAGGCTTGCTTGAGCTTGGGAGTTTAAGGTTACCGTGAGCCATGATCACACCACTGCATTCAAACCTGAGCAACAGAATGAGACTCTGTCTTTAAAAAAGAGGAAAAACAGGAAAACAAAAGAAATGTGTGGTTTATATTTGCCTCTTTTATGTTATTAGAAGACTATGAGAGTGAAAAATTAAATCAGTGCTGTCTAGCATTCTCCCACACAACGGTGTTCCCACCTGCCGTGCACTCAGTGAATGGTGTTCATTCCACACTGCTTTGTAAAGCACATGATCCACATTTACAGTTATTCAAGTTGGGTGTTTCCTATCATTTTAAGAGGCAGAGATGGGGTAAAAAAGGATACGTAAAGTGTTTTAAATCTACTGTTGTTATTTAGAAAAAAAATTCTTCTTTGTAATAAATGAAAATAATACATTTCTATTTCCATTGTCATAAATGGGAATAATTCCTTACGCACAATGCCTGGGACTAGAAGTGTCTTGAACTCAGAATTTTTTTCAGATTTTGGAATGTTTGTATATATATAATGAGGTATCTTGAGGATGATATCCAGGTCTAAACATGAAATTTACATATGCTTCATACACATCTTATACACATAGGCTGAAGGTAATTTTATACAACATTTTTAATAATTTTATACATGAAACAGTTTTGACTGTATTTTCGCTGAGACCAGTCACATGAAAGGAGGTGTGGAATTTTCCACTTGTGGTTCATGTTGGCGCTCAACAAGTTTCAGATTTTGGACTTTGAATTTTCAGATTAGGAATGTTCAACTCGAATTTTAAAAATCTTAGCTACCTCTCATACTAGTTATTGTAAAGCTAAATGCCTCATTACCAATAATTTGACATAAAAGCTTACAATGCAATGCAGATTTTGCTTCACACCACATCCTAATGATTTTAAAGACTCTTACTTCTAAGAAAAAGGAATACAGTTAGTGCCAGTTAGAATCAAATGAGACAATACATTTGTGAATGCTATGTTTAAAAAGCAGATTACAAATGTTTTTGTAAAAATACACATATATTTATATACATGTAAATACATATATGCATAGGAAAAGTCTAGAAGGGTATTCACTACCACCATTCGGTTCCAACTGGTGGAAAACGGTTGTTTTAAATTTTTGTTTATTTGCATTTCTAATTAACTACAATGCATACATATTGTCTTTATAATTTTTTAAATGCATCCAAAATTAGCAATAGATCTTTCCTCTATCTTCAAAAATTATAGAAATTAAATGTTATTAAATAATAAAAAAGTGCTACACAAAGATAAGATACTAAAACAAAACAATTTAGTTTAGTGGAGACAAAACACACTGGTGATCAGAAGTCATGGGTTTTAGGTTCAGTTCTGCCTCTTACTGGCTTAGTTACCTCGGGTAATTTATTTAACTTTTAGAGCTTCAATTTCCTAGACAATGAAACAACATACAGCATTCTTCTTTTTCCTATGCTATGCATATACCAAGATATCAAGCATAAACCTGTTTCAATTACACATTGCTTAGAGCTGTAAGTGTACAGATTTACAAGACTACACATGTGAGGTGAAAGAGGAAACCCATGGTCAGGACAGAGCACAGGTAAGTGTGAGTTCCAAGTCACCAATAATTAGTAAACCTTGGGCAAATCACTTAGTGTCTGGCACCTCAGTTTTCTCAATACAAAAATGAAAATAAAAATCCTTCCCTAAACACATTTCTCCCCATTTCCCAAAACTTTAGAAGTTAATGAGATTGACCTTTGAAAGAAATGTGTAAGCTGTAAAGCATTATGCAAAAGTTGGTAATTATATAAGGAAGCAATTAAAATAGGGGGAATTTAAGTTTTATAGCTTAAGAAATACATCCCACAGATGAGACTATCTATACATATTGTATCCAGCAATGATTATTCATGCTTCCTGGAGATATGCCTGTAATTTGAATACTTCGTCATCAAGGATGTAATGGGACAATGGTTTGATATTATGATCTGAAAATAATAATAATAATTAGCTATTTAGCACTTACTATGGAACATTCAATGGGCCAGCGCTCAGGGTGCACCACAGATCAATTAAATCAGAACATCTATGGGTAGAACCTAGGCATCAATCCTTTGTAAATGCTCCATGTGATTACAATATATAGCCAATGCTCAGAACCACTGCCTTAGGACCTTAAGTCAAGTGAGAAATTAAGAACAAATTCCAGACTCTTAATGACAGTTCACACTTTTTATAGGCACTGAGTATTTGAAAAAAGATTTCTGAATATGCATTATCCCATGTTACTTTTACAACCACCTTTCGAATCAATATTAATTTCTTCATCTTTCAGACATAGAAATTTGATGTGTCAGTCAATGACACAGCTTGTAACTACCCTATCACCCTGACACTGCATAAATTTCAGATAGGTATTTACATGTTCACACTCAGTGAATATTTAGGAATTATATTCCTGACAAGGGAAGTTTATTTCTAAAGCAAAATCCATCTCCACATACTAAATATGAAATATACTACTTATCTACAGTATAGAGATTCTCAAACTTTACTACACAACACCATTGCCAGAAAGATTGTTAATACATAGATTGCTGGGCCCCATATCCAGAGTTTCTGATTAAGTAGGTGTGAGGTGAGGCCTGAGAATTTGCATCTCTAAAAAACTCCAGGTAATATCAGTGCTGCTGGTCCAGGGACTACCCTTTAAGAAACACTGCCCCAGGATACTTTAGAAAAATGTGCATGGTAAAAGATCCAGACCTTGGCCTGCTTTCCTCCCATCTTCATGATCTCTGAAACACTCAGGCTGGTCTTCCTGCAAAGAAGACCAGCAAATAGCAGGAGGAGGGGAGGAGGGCAGGGAGGAAGGATCAGCAGAGAGCCCAGGATGTTTCACTAGCACCAAAGGCTCAAGACTAGCTTCCCCAAGCCATCCAGGATTAGCCTTTTAATGGGGTTCTTGTCTCCCATGCATCCCTGCAGGCCTCCTGCCCAGAGAAGGATGGCTGCAGGAAATCACTCTACAGTGACAGAGTTCATTCTCAGGGGATTAACGAAGAGAGCAGACCTCCAGCTCCCCCTCTTTCTCCTCTTCCTCGGGATCTACTTGGTCACCATGGTGGGGAACCTGGGCATGATCACTCTGATTCGTCTGAACTCTCAGCTTCACACCCCCATGTACTACTTCCTCAGCAATCTGTCACTCGTGGATCTCTGCTACTCCTCCGTCATTACCCCAAAAATGCTGGTGAACTTTGTGTCAGAGAAAAACATCATCTCCTACGCAGGGTGCATGTCACAGCTCTACTTCTTCCTTGTTTTTGTCATTGCTGAGTGTTACATGCTGACAGTGATGGCCTACGACCGCTATGTTGCCATCTGCCACCCTTTGCTTTACAACATCATTATGTCTCATCACACCTGCTCCCTGCTGGTGGCTGTGGTCTACGCCATGGGACTCATTGGCTCCACAATAGAAACTGGCCTCATGTTAAAACTGCCCTATTGTGAGCGCCTCATCAGTCACTACTTTTGTGACATCCTCCCTCTCATGAAGCTGTCCTGCTCTAGCACCTATGATGTTGAGATGGCAGTCTTCTTTTTGGCTGGATTCGACATCATAGTCACAAGCTTAACGGTTCTCGTTTCTTACACCTTCATTCTCTCCAGCATCCTCAGCATCAGCACCACAGAGGGTAGATCCAAAGCCTTCAGCACCTGCAGCTCCCACCTTGCAGCTGTGGGAATGTTCTACGGATCAACTGCATTCATGTACTTAAAACCCTCCACAGTCAGTTCCTTGGCCCAGGAGAATGTGGCCTCTGTGTTCTACACCACCGTAATCCCCATGCTGAATCCCCTAATCTACAGCCTGAGAAACAAGGAAGTAAAGGCTGCCATGCAGAAAACACTGAGGAGTAAACTGTTTTGATGCAAATGTTATTGTTCCCTTTCAATTTAGTAGTAATTGTTATAAATACTAGACGGACAGCTTCTGAATGCTGGCCAGCCATGAATGCAAAATAATCACTTCTCCACATGGCTGAGTGGATGCCATTTTTCCTTCTCTCCCTCTTTTTCCACTACTGATTGAAACCAGCCAACTTCAAGTTCAGGTTTTCTTTCACTTGAGATCCATCCCTCTATCCCAAGCCCTTTAATAAATGTTTCCTACCTTAATTGTAATTTAACTTAAATGCTAAACTTTCAACATTGAGTTTTAGGGTCATTCATGGTCTTATTACCTTCTACACAGAAAATATTACTCAGTCTAATTTTTTTCTTTTTTTTTTTTCTTTTTGGTGACAGAGTCTTACTCTGTAGCCGAGGCTGGAGTGCAGTAGCACAATCTTGGATCACTGTAACCTCCGCCTCAAGTGATTCTCCTGTCTTAGCTTCCCGAGCAACTGGAATTACAGGCATCTGCCACCATGCCCAACTAATTTTTGTATTTTTAGTAGAGACGGGGTTTCACCATGTTGGCCAGGCTGGTCTTGAACTCCTGACCTCAAGTGATCCACCTGCTTCAGCCTCTCAAAGTGCTGAGATTACAGGCGTGAGCCACCACGCCCGGCCAATTTTTTTCTTTTTGTACTTGGGAAAAAATGAGGCAAAGAGAGGCAAAGTATCTCTACTTCCTCCTGCCCAAGAATTTCCTGATCTCTTTATGCAATTTTCTTAGTAACACTAATAATAATGATAATAGCAGTTAACAGGTTTTTGGACGCTGACTCTGATCCATGCAACTCTTCTACGTGCTTTCTATTCTATTTCAATTATACTGCACAACAAATAGTTACTATTCTATCCTCATTTCACAGATACGGAAACTTGGAGCAGGAGTAACAACACTGGGATTCAAACTCCAGTCCCAGTGACTCCAGAGCCCAGACTCTGGGCACTCACACATTACTTCTTCACTTTAGTCTAACAGTCCCTTTGAACAGCCTATTAAACCTCCCATAATTATGCTCGTCCAATTTCAAATGCCTTCTGAAAATAATTTCTCAAATCCCTTCCTTTTGTCATCTGCCCAAACCTCTTTCTCTTTACGGGCAACAACTATAATAGAATGGGAAAAGATGCATAAGTAGCATATATAATAATAAACCCTAGCAAACCAGCAAGAAAAAAGACATCAACATTAGCAAGAAAAAAAAAATGAGCAAGGTATACAGAACAATTTACAAAAGAGAAAACCTGAAGTACCAGAGCATGTGAAGAGATGCTCAAACCAATTACTAAACATAGAAGTGCAAATTAAAACAGTGATATATCTTTTTATATTTATAAGATTAGCAAAAATTTTAAAAGCTGGATGGTGCTAAGTGTTAGTAAGGAGGTAGGGATTTAGGAACCCCCATATACTACAGCTATTCTGGAAAACAGTAAGACATTACTTAAGAAAAATAAGTATATGTATCCACAGGGCATAGCAAATCTGGTCCAGGGTATATATAGTCCCAAATCATTCTCTTTCAGGCCTATAAGATGGCATGTACAAAGGCATTCATTATACCATTATTTTAGACAATGGGAACTTAGAGGTAAAATAGGTGTCCACCATTGGGAAAGTAAGTAGATAAATTGTATCTACTTACTTACAATTTGTAGACTTTTCAACAGTTAGAAGCAAAGGATTAGCTATACACAGTATAGTTTAGAGGTATAGTGCTGTGTGAGAAAAGTAAGAAAGATAATGAGATATAAAACATATTATTTATGTATATTAAAATTGCATGTACACACACCCCAAAAAAAGCACACTTAGAAAGAAAAAAGATCATAACGTAAAATACACATTAGGTAAGTTAGAATGGCTGCTGAGAGATATAAGATGCTTGAAGGTAAGGAGTAGAAAAAAAGATGAAACAGAAAACCAAGAAAGACCACATTCTGGACCATAAAACACATCTTAACTGATTTGAAGAAACAGAAATCATACAATGTCTGCTATCTGCTCTCAGACCACAGTGAAATTAAACTAGAAATCAGTAACAGAAAGATAGCTGAAAAATCATTAAATACTTTGAAATTAAACAACACATTTCTAAGTAACACATGGGTCAAAGAAGAAAATCTCAAGAGAAATTTTCAAATATTTTGAATAAAATGAAAATGCAACTAATCAAAACTTGTGGGATGCAGCAAAAGCAGAGCTTAGAGGGAATTTTGCAGCATTGAATGTCTTAGCAAAGAAAACAATCTAAAATCAATCACCTAGACTTTCAACTTAGGAAACTAGGTTGGAGAATTGCAAATTAAATCCAAAGTAAGCAGAAGACAAGAAAAAAAATTAGAGAAAAATCAATAATATTTAAAACAGAAAATCAACAGAGGAAAATCAATGAAACCAAAAGCTGGTTCTTTGAAAAGATCATTAAAATTGACAAGCCTCTAGCCAGGCTAACTGGAAAAAAAAAGAGAGAGGACACAAATTACTAGTGTCAGAAAGGAAAGAAGGACATCACTATAGATCCTGTGAACATTAAGAAAAAGCAGAATTACTATGAACAACTCTATGCCTACAAACTTAATAACCTAGATGAAATGGGCCAACTCCTTGAAAGATACAATCTGTCAAAATTCACACAAGAAGAAATAGACAAACTGAATAGGCCTATATATATTAAAGAAACTGACTCAATAATTAACAGTCTTTCAAAACAGAAAACACCAGGTTCAAATGGGTTCACTGGTGAATTCTACCAAACATTTTAAGAAAGATACTATACCTATTCTCTACGATCCCTTCCAGAAGATTGAAGCAGAGGGTATACTTCCTAACTCATTCTTTGAGGCCAGCACCACCCTAATACCAAAATCAGACAAAAATATTATAAGAAAAGGAAGCTACAGACCAGTACCTAACATGAATAGAGACAATAAACTCAACAAAGTATTAGTAAATTGAATGCAACAAGTGTATTCAACAACTATATACCATAACCAAGTGTAATTTATCCCAAGGACATGAGCCTGGTTCAACTTTTGAAAATCAGCTAAGGTAATCCAAATCCACATCAACAGGTAAAGAAGAAAAATCACACGTTGATATAAATAAATACAGAAAAAAATTTTGACAAAATTTCTCACTCATTTGTAATTTTTTAAAACTCTCAGTAAACTAGGAATACAGGGGAACTTCCTCAACTTGATAAAGATTTTTTTTTAAACCTACAGCTAATATCATACTTAATAATGACAAAGTTGAAACTTTCCCACTAAGATCAGGAGCAAAGCAAGGATGTCCCCTCTCACTGCTGTTTTCCAACATTGTACTGGAAGTGCTACCTAATACAATAAGACAAGAAAAGGAAATAAAATATATACAGATTGGGAGAGAAGAAATAAAACTGTCCTTATTCACAGATGATATGATTGTTCATTTAGAAAACTAAAAATAATTGACAAAAAAAAAATGAAAACCTCCTGGAACTAATAAGCATTTACAGCAAGGTTGCAGCATACAAGATTAACATACAAAAGTAAATTGCTTTCTTATATGCCTGCAAACAACAGTGGAATTTGAAATGTAAAACACAATGCCATTTATGTTAGAACTCCAAAAAATGAAATACCTAAGTGTGAATTTAACAAAATATGTGCATGATCTAAACAACGAAAACTACAAAACTCGGATGAAAGAAATCAAATACTAAATGGAGAGAGATTCCACATTCATGAAAAGGAAGGCTCAATAATTCATAATTGCCAACATTTGGAACCAACCAAGATGTCCTTCAGTAGGTGAATAATAAATAAACTATGATATGTTCAGACAATGAAATATTATTCAGTGCTAAAAAGAAATGAGCTATCAAGCCATGAAAAGACATGGAGGAATTTAAATCCATATTACTAACTGAAAGACGTCAATCTGAAATGGCTACATACTGTATGATTCCAAGAATCTAACATTCTGGAAAGGCCAAAACTATGGAAACAGTAAAAAGATCAGTGGTTGCCAAGGATTAGAGTGGGAGGGAGTGATGAATGGGTGGAGCACAGAGGATTTTTCGGGCAGTGAAAATGCTCTGTATTGACTGGTATAATGTATATATACTGGTATGTATAATGACATAGTGTAACATGTATAATGACAAGGTATATACTTGTCATTATACATTGATCTAAATCCAAAGAAGGTACAATATCAAGAGTGAACACTAATTTAAACTTTGGCCTTTGGGTGATAATAATGTGTCAATGTAAGCTCATCAATTGTAGCAAATGTGCCACTCTGATAAGGGGTGTTGATACTGGGGAAGGTTATGTATGTGTGGAGGTAAGGAAAATATAGAAAATCTCTATACCTTCTGCTCAATTTTTCTGTAAACCTAAAACTATCTTTAAAAATAAATTCTATTTTTAAAAGAAGAAACAGAAATAAAAATTATTTTTCCTAGACCCACCACCCTCAGGTACATACCAGTGAACATATCCAAGAAGCTCTGGATCAGAGCTAGCCACTGAACCATTGAATAGAGAGACAGGTAAGTTCACCCTCAATAATTGTGATGTCTTGGGAAAGACTATCTACATGTTTAAAAGTTGTAAATTAAGCTAGCGAAGTGTTAAATATTTTCCTTCCTCCTACCTTGATAGATATACCTTCATAACAAGCTAGATGGCCAGGTTCAAATTTAGAAATCTCAGAATTCTAAGAGCTCCATGCCAGAATGTGGTACTAGGAAAGGGCTCTTCCTGGCACCTGGCATTCTCCCCACAGACGCAGCTTTCCCCCTCCGCTTCCCACTCCCCATTGTGTCCCATTCCACAAGGGACCTCACACGTACACATATATGGGCAACCTGGTATTCAAACTCTTGGTCCATACACCTGCACAAAGCAATCCCTGACTGTCCCTTTTATCTAAGGTTGAATAGCCAGTAGTGGTCTGCCTTCAGGACATGGTCCTGGGGAAGAGCCTTATAAGCAGGTACATGGTATTTAAGGAGGGAATTCTGGTATCCCCAACACTACTAAGGGATGCATAGGCTCTAACTGGGCACATCC